GAACGATCTTGCACTATAATCTTTCCAGTCTAAGAAGTGGAAGGAAAATGTTTTTGTTGTTTTAATTCTCTGTTTGTGACGACAGGCATCTTTTCACTCACTTAGCATCCATTTGTATTTCTTCTGTAAACTACCTCTTGTATCTCTTGCCCATTTTTCTGTCTTCCTAAAGGCATTATTCAAATTTTTCTTTTCCTTTTTAACTTTTTTTTTATTATAGAAATAATATATAAAACCCATTCTTACTGTAAAAAGACTCAATATGCAGAAGCTGACAGGGAACAAAACGCAAAGTTCCCTTCATTCTTGACTCCGAGTCTCCTCCCCTCGAGGCCACCACCGCCAGCATGGCAGCATCCTCCAGGCCCTCCCTGTGCACACACATGGGTGTGGGTGTGTATATGGCCTTCAGTGATATTTTATGTTGTTGACTATACGTGTTAATAGCAATAATACATCTATAACTACATATTGTTCTCTGATTTTATTTTTTTCACCCAAAAATTCATTCATTCATTGAACACATATTTATTGAGTGCTGAGCATTCTCAAAGTGCTAGAGATATAGCAGTAAACAAAATGTGGACACACACAACTCCTTGCCTTCACAGAGCTAACATTCTAATACAGGGCCAGGTATGGCCTGTGGGCCAAATCCAACCAGGAGCCTGTTCTTGTCCAACTCGAATTTTTTATATTTTTAAAGGGTGATTTAAAAAAATAAAAATGGGGGTGCCTGGCTGGCTCAATCAGTGGAGTGTGTGACTCTTGATCTCGGGGTTATAAGTTCGAGGTCCACGTTGGGTGTAGAGGTTACTTAAAAAGAAAATCTGTAAAAACAATTAAAAAAATAAAAATGGACGCCTGGGTGGCTCAGTTGGTTAAGCAACTGCCTTCGGCTCAGGTCATGATCCTGGAGTCCTGGGATCGAGTCCCGCATCGGGCTCCCTGCTCGGCGGGGAGTCTGCTTCTCCCTCGGACCCTCCTCCCTCTCATGCTCTCTCTCTCTATCTCATTCTCTCTCTCAAATAAATAAAATCTTAAAAAAAATTTAAAAATAAAAATGAAGGATATGCAACAAAGATGTATATGGCCAGCAAAGCCTAAAATATTTACTAGCTGGCCCTTTACAGAAAAAGTGAGCTGACCACTATAAATCTGTGGATGATATCTTAAAGATTTGTCCATGTTATTAAATTAAGTCTCCCTCATTTTATTTTTTTTTAAGGTTTATTTATTTATTTATTTGACACAGAGAGACACAGCGAGAGAGGGAATACAGCAGGGGGAGTGGGAGAGGGAGAAGCAGGCTCCCTGCAGGGCAGGGACCCCGATACAGGGCTCGATCCCAGGACGAAGGCAGACGCTTAATGACTGAGCCACTCAGGCACCCCCCTCATTTTATTTCTAACAGCTGTGTAGAATTCATAAAATGGCTATTCCATAATTTATTTCATTACCCCCTATTAGTGGATATTTACGTTTTTCCAACAGTTTTGCTATTATGAACAGTGCTATCCCAAACATCCCTTGTGTACATGTGTGGGTGATTCTGCAGGATACATCCCCGGAAGTGGGATTGAAATTGGGATAGAAAATGCATACTCTTATTAAATTTTTTTATTAATATTTATATTACTTGGGAAGTGAAATATTTACACACAAAGGGTAGTAACCATACAGATTTCTCAGCTTTGTCTCTATTTCAACTGTCCTACCTATTTTATAAAATCTACCTTTATTGAGCACTTTGTGTCAGATACTATCTTTACCACTTTTTATGCACTATCTCATTTATCCTTAACAAGCTTCTAAGTATTGATACTGTTTGTTTCACAGATGAAGAAACTGAGTCTCAAGGAAATTACTGCCCAGGTTGACACCATCTACTAAGAGGCAGGAACCTGATTTTTTTTTTTTTTAAGATTTTATTTATTTATTTGACAGAGAGAGAGAGAGGGATCACAAGCAGGGGGAGTGGGAGAGGGAGAAGCAGGCTTCCCGCGGAGCAGGGAGCCCGATGTGGGGCTCGATCCCCAGGATGCTGGGATCACGACCTGAGCCGTAGGCAGACGCTCAACGACTGAGCCACCCAGGCGCCCCAGAACCAGAATGTAAACCTAATTCCAAAACCAAGTTCTTAACCGCAGTGCTATTCTGCTCCCCCCAGAGCATGACCTGTCCTGATTTTTGTTTCGGAAAATATGGTCACCATAACAGTTCATATGTGTGGTAAACTACCTCAGGTCATTCTTCGAAAAAGAGTAGAGCTCTAGAGTAATAGTCACCAGTCTGACCAGTTGCCAGAGTGCTGTGCTTTGAGAAAGGAAGGGGTAGGAAGTGTGCTAAACTTCTGGGATTTGGGTCCCATCCCCTGGCCTCCTGGGCTCAGCTCCGCTTGCTGTGAAGAGGTTGGCAAGCCCTCTGCATTCACCAGGCTGGGACGAGGTCTTGGTGAGAGATGCTCAGGGGCTGAGAGATGCTCTAGAACCAAATGAGAAAAGTTCCTCCCACTAGGCTAACATCTGTGATTTCATCCCTTCCAGTATGCAGCTGACCCCCAGGACAAGCACTGGCTGGCCGAGCAGCATCACATGCGGGCAACAGGGGGGAAGATGGTAAGCACTGTTCACACATGCCCAGCCAGGGACCCACCCAGCCCAGGGGCCAAGGGTCCAGCTGTTGGTGGCACTTCCTTCCATGTCTGAGACTCTCAAAGCCTGATGAATGTGGAAAAGGAGACTTGCCAGGGTAGAGAGGGCCCCTTTCTTCACACTGAACACCAGACTTAATCCCTGGATTCCCTTCCCACACACCACTCCCTCGCTCCCTCCTTCACCAGCCTTATTCAGACTATATTAGCTGTGCATAAGAATGGCAGGTGCACAGCACATGTAACACTACTTTTACCTCATGTGCCCATTGACAGATGGCTCTCACGGATCACCACCTCTTCCACCAGACACAGCTGTAGGATCTCCCCAACACAGTGCTCCAGGCAGCACCTCCTGTCAGTAGGAGTTAGCACATGCAGTGAAAGCTGTTTGCCACGCCTAGCAGCCCCTTCCAGAATCACCTCTGCTTAAAGAGTTCTTAGCTCATCAAGCAGCGACCTTGGGAAAACCATCCTTGCATGCGTTCTGAAACTAGCAGGGCTTTGTCCATCACCTGCGGTGTCCCCCACCTGAGGACTCAGTCCCACCGCGGGGACTGCTCCTGTTAGAATTCAGTGGCCTTGCAAACCAGTATACCATCTCCTTTCTGGCAAGGAAACAATCTTCTGTTTTACTACTCTACTTATTCCTACACCCTGTTTAAGAAGATTTTAGGGAACTTACCACATACATAAAATGCAAAATAACGTAAATAAGAAATAGATGGGAAGAGGAAAGACAGGATCTAACATTAAGCCATGAACAAGACTAGCTTTAAAAGGGGTGTTTTTTTTTAATAGCTGACTTGGGAAACTAGCACACTTCCATGGGTTTTTGCAAATTCAGCACTAGGCCCTTCTCAGGGACATCTCATTGGTTACATAGTTCACAGTGCTCATAAGATGACAGATTACTCAGGGGACACACACAGATTACTCCTGACCCTAAGACTAGAAAGAACTGTCTCCCCCAGAAGACTTGCCCATGTGATGAATGACATCCCCTGTGTGGTAAGTGCACGAGAGGGCTCTCTCCCCCTGCAGACCATGGCATTGTGCCGCAGCCGAGCTGCAGGCCCCTGGTAGGAGACAGCAGTGCAGCTTCTCACGTTTGCCCTTCTGCCACGAAGTTCAAACCCAGATCATCTCAGTTCCTAGAGTTAACATTACAGCTTCCTCCTCCTGATTCCCTGTTTCCATGTGTGTTTTGCTAGCTCTCTTGCGATTTCATTTTAAGCCACCCAGAGTCCTTTTTTAAAAGAGGAGGCGGCTGTAAGTCACCCATCTCCACTCCTTAACCCATAAATTTTCTATTTGAGTGAAAGGTTGTCTCACGGAGCTATTTTCCAGTCTCTCCCTACTCACTCTCCTAAACTGTGAATTATGCCCCTCTCCCTTCCAGCCCTTACATTAAGTACATGTTTAATAGTATTGTTGAGTTGAAATGAATCAGAGGCAGTGACCACTCTCCTTTGCTCCTGCCCCAGGCCTACCTCCTCATCGAGGAGGACATCCGGGACCTCGCAGCCAGTGATGACTACAGGTAAAGCCAGTCATCTAGATGTCCCCTGCGCCCCCCCCCACAGTGGCCCCTTTGGGTGAGCCTGGGCCTGCACCCTCCTTGCTTCAACTCTCCTCCTCAATGTCTGTTCCAGAGGATGTCTGGACCTGAAATTGGAGGAGCTGAAATCCTTTGTGCTACCCTCCTGGATGGTCGAGAAGATGCGAAAGTACATGGAGACACTACGAACAGAGAACGAGCATCGTGCTGTTGAAGCACCTCCACAGACCTGACTGAAGCCAAGTCCCCTGGCTACACTTGGCAGCCCTCTTCCAAGGCCCTGTCACCCACTGAGGCCACTACTGGGACTGCTCCTGGATGGATCTCAGCGGCATTAAGCTGTGCCTGGGCCAGTCTGTAGTGACTCACTACAGAGCACCCCCAGACTGGCACGTGGTTCTGTATTTGTAAAGTTATCGGGTTAAGAAGCAATTAAACAGTTTGTAATAAACACAGTGAGCTAGCTGTGCAGTCTGTTGTAGGGGCTGACGAAATACCAAGGGATCTAGATGTGAGTGTAGGAAAAAAGGACCAGGTACCCCTCCCCCATCGCAGGTCGGACCCAGTAAGGTCCCACTGCCCCGTGCCTATCTGCTTTATGAGACAAAGCTGGGAACACCGTGTACCCTGCAAACCTTCCCTGTTTCTTATTTCTTCATCCCCTAAGGTACAGAAGTGGCAGGACGTGTTGGCTGGCACCATAGGGGTTGACGACAGACCGGAAGAAAAGTGCGGAGATGCTTTTATTGTCCCCGTCTTACAGGTGAAAATACTAAATGCCGTGTCCGGGGTCACACAGCAAACCGTGGGAGAGGCTGCTGTAGGAGCCTGTTTCCAACAGTCTCCTGGCTCTGGCCGTCATACCCCTCCTATAAGGTCCCTACAGAGGTGTCGGGGACATTAAAATATGTGGAGGAGCAAGGGTTTCCCGGTTCAGGGAAGGGTACCGCTGTCGCCAGACCGGAGACGTTCCCTCCTGGGAGTGGGGATCCCGGCTGAGCGCGCCGGGAGCTCGCTCTGGTAGCCAGTCCTGGGACCTGAAAGTGTTCATCCCACGTGGACTTTTTGTCGGCCCTTTAATGGTCGGCGTTTTCCAAAGGCCACCAATCCGCTGCAGATTCGTTAGTTAATGACAGCCTCTTCTGCCAATCGCCCTTCAGAAGCAGGTTTCCACCGCCCAATATTGGTGCGCTGGGGGGTGGGTCTAGCAGTTGCGCAGTGACACAGCGCTCTGGCGCGCCCCATTGGCTGGATCAAACCCAAGCGAGCCGCTGATTGGCCGGTGCTGCCGGAGGGTTACAATTCAAACGCGGGCGGGCGGGCCGCCGGCCCTGCAGTTGCAGTCGTGCTCTCCGAGTTCCTGTCTCTCTCCCCGCACCGCCCGGGATGGCCTCCCAGAACCGCGACCCAGCTGCCGCCAGCGTCGCCGCCGCCCGCAAAGGAGCCGAGCCCAGCGGGGGCGCCGCCCGGGGCCCCGTGGGCAAGAGGTGAGGAGTGTGGAGTCACACTGGCCGGGCCCGGCACGCCCTGGGCCTTGGGGTCCAGAGCTCGGACTTCCGGGCCCCCACCTCCTCCTGGAGTGGGTAGATGTGCGGGGGCAGGAGGGGACGCCGGGAGCTCGGGCTGCCCTTAGAGGGCCCCCCGAAGGAGGACAGAAGGGGGAGGTACGCCGCCATGATCCTCCGCGGGTGAGCCAAGATGAAAGTGTGCCTGGGACCTTCGGTGGCTCGGCGAGGTAGGGAGGGGGAGTGGGGACGGAAGCGGGGAGAAACTGGGATCCGGCACAGGGAGAGAGACGTCAGAGAAGCCGAGGGGCTTAAGAACGAGGCAGAACCGTCCTGCCGGAACCTGGAATTAGGAAGGGTGAGGACTCCCTGGGGCTCTTCGGTGGAAATGGGAGTGAGTGTGCCGCAGCTGAGTCTGGCCTCAGGGTAGGGGAAGCCTCCATGACAGCTCCCCCAGAGATTCTGGGGTGAGGGAAGAAGCACCGCGTGGAGCCCTGGCCCATCCAGACTCCCGGGTGACTCCCAACGCTTATGTTGCAGGCTACAGCAGGAGCTGATGACCCTCATGGTGAGTGACTACCTGCCCAGACCCCCAGGCCAATTGATCCACCCTCCACCTCCCCACTCACTTATCAGTAGCCTCCTTTCCTACATCGGGCTCTTTGCTAGACACAGCCCAGGGGATAAAAAGATGAGTCCACTTTCCTCTTCTGGGAAGAAGTTAATAGACCCCGCCTACACCTTTCTTTCCAGCAGTGTCTACTCCAGATCCCTCCCCCCCCCACCCCCACCACCACCATGAAGTTCCCTCTAAAATACAGTTCCCTGAAGCCATGCAAGGCCTTCTTCTCTCTATGCTGCCTGGCCCTACTGCCCTGCCCTGAGATTTAACCACACCCAACCCCCCCCTTACTATTCTTAGGGAAGACGCCTGTCGTACTTTTCAAGTAATTTTTCCTAGATGACCTTGTCTACTTTAACCCTGACTATCCAACTCAGATCCGTCAATGCCAATATTCCCTATCTCCCTAGTCTGTGAATGGTCTTGAGGCTTTGTATGTAACCAGCCCTAACTAGCATGTCGAACTGGATTCCCAGCATCCAACAAGATTGGGGGCACAGAGCTGCTTTGTATTTTTTCTGCATAACCCTTCCCTCCTTAACACACCCCAGTGCTGCTCCCCAAAGGGGCAGGTTCAGCCCCAAGAATTGAGTCACTTCCTCAAAAAAGCCCATCAGTTTGAGCCAAATTTTGGATCAAAATTTGATGAGCTTAAGGGGAAGGATTTCACCTACTGACCCCCAAAAGTGTACTGTGCAGCCCAGCAGATGTTGTTTCTTCCCCAGATGTCTGGTGACAAAGGCATCTCTGCCTTCCCTGAATCCGACAACCTTTTCAAATGGGTGGGGACCATCCATGGGGCAGCAGGCACAGTAAGTGCAGGGTGAGGTAGGTGAGTGTGACTTTGCGGGGTCTGGGGGCGGGGCTGGGGTGAAAACCAAGTGCAGGTCGCGAGCTTCGAGCCTGGCTCAACACATGCCTGGCTCAACACGTGCCTGTCCTGTTCTGGTGCTCTGAGCCCGGGGCCCTTGTCTCTCCCTCTGTCCAGGAAGACATTGGGTTGAAAGCAGGGCTGTCCATCTCAGATGCCTATAGGGGCCCGAACAGAAAGAAGGATGGAGGGTACGTGAGGACTTTGGCCAGTGGGAGGGCACCAGTCTCAAGATGGCAGCTTCCCATTGCTGCATATCTGGTTAAAGATGAGTCAGAAATCCAGGGGCGCCTGGCTGGCACAGTCAGTGAACGTGCAACTCTTGATCTCGGTGTTAAACATTCAGGCCCCATGTTGGGTGTAGAGATTACTGAAAAACGAAACCTTTTTAAAAAAACAAATTCAGGGGCGCCTGGGTGGCTCAGTCGTTAAGCGTCTGCCTTCGGCTCGAGTCTGGGATCTCAGGGTCCTGGGATCGAGCCCCGCATCGGGCTCCCTGCTCGGCGGGTAGCCTGCTTCTCCCTCTCCCACTCCCCCTGCTTGTGTTCCCTCTCTCTTTCTCGCTGTGTCTCTCTCTGTCAAATAAATAAATAAAATCTTGAAGAAAAATAAATAAATAAAATAAAAATTTAAAAAATTCAGTGCGGCGCCTGAGTGGCTCAGTGGGTTAAGCGGCTGCCTTCGGCTCAGGTCGTGATTCCAGGGTCCTGGGATCGAGCCCCACATCGGGCTCCCTGCTCGGCGGGAAGCCTGCTTCTCCCTTTCCCACTCCCCCTGCTTGTGTTCCCTCCCTTGCTGTGTCTCTGTCAGATAAATAAATAAAATCTTTAATAGTAAAAAAAAAAAGGTAGCAGCACCTCAAGTGTCCATTCATGGACACAAAAGGGAATATTATTTTTAAAAAAACAAAAACAAATTCAGGTGTGTGTCTAAAATATCCTAATTTTTACATGTCAGCAGCTAATGTTGTGGCTGACTAAAGCACAGCTGTGGTAGTCCTCAGGATGCCAGTTTACACTGAAGGATCACTGATGTTCCTACCAGATAGGAGAGAAAGTACCACAGCCAGTGTAACACTTTGTCTTTTGTCAAGTCCCAGGCAAACCCAAAGGTCCTTACAAGCCCCTTACCAGGGCTTGGGTTGGGATATGAGGCTCAGGGGGGGGGGCTCACCCCCCCCCCCCCCCCCCCCGTTTCTCCAATGCCAGGTTTATGAAGACCTGAGGTATAAGCTCTCGCTGGAGTTCCCCAGTGGCTACCCTTACAACGCGCCCACGGTGAAGTTCCTCACACCCTGCTACCACCCCAACGTGGACACCCAGGGAAATATCTGCCTGGACATCCTGAAGGACAAGTGGTCTGCCCTGTATGATGTCAGGACCATCCTGCTGTCCATCCAGAGCCTGCTAGGAGGTGACTTCTGAGACCAGCGCCTCCCCCCTGAGACTGGGAACCTGTCCGGACCGCCCCCACCCCCAGCTAGCCTCTTCTACTTAACCATTCTCTTTCTTTCCATCCACAGAACCAAACATTGATAGTCCTTTGAACACGCATGCTGCCGAGCTCTGGAAAAACCCCACAGGTGGGTCCTTCATCCTTCTCGGGCACCGGGTGATCCCTCCCCAATATTCAAAGGCTCCCTCAAACAGAAGGATCCTGGTGACTTGGGATTGTGTCCTGAGGACTGGGTTGGGGTGGGTGGTTAACCCAGATAACCCAGTTTCTACCTCTGCCTCGGTGTTTCTGATTTGCCTGTTTGCTGTAAAATCAGAAAGCTAACTTTCTACAGTAATGTAGGTTGAGGGACTTTTTAAGTAGAAAGCAAACTTTGTGTAAATGACTTGCTCACTAAGAACCCCAGTCACCTCCCCAGCATCCCTGGGAGCAGAACCCATCCAGGAGACCTGACCAGGCAGCCCGCAGCAGGAGAATCTATTGTGTCAGGAAATCCTCCCCAGCTCCCCAGACTTCTCCCACCTTTGTATCCTTGCCTGCCCCCTTGCCCACTGTAACCCTTGTAACCTGATGTTACTGGGCCCCTTGTAACCTTGTCCCCACCACTCCCTGAGACCTGCCTGTTCTCTTCCAGCCTTTAAGAAGTATCTGCAAGAAACCTACTCGAAGCAGGTCTCCAGCCAAGATCCCTGACTGTCCAGCCTCTCTCTTTGTGTTGTCTTTTTATTTTCTCCTTAGATAGTCTTTCTCTTCATTTCTGTCTAGGACTCTGTATCTTAAGCTGTGGTGTCATTTTTGTTTTGTTTCTGTTTTTTAAATTAAGTCTCTGGTTGAGCCCTTGTGACAAATATATTAAATAAATACATTGGGTTTTTTTTTACAAGTTGCCTTGTCGTTACCCCAGGGTTGGCAGGGCTCAGGGTGGGTGGAGTAGCATATCCCGGCTCTTGCCCTGCTGCTCTCCCCAAAGCCTGGAGGCAGCTGACAGGCTGAGTGGCTGAGCAAGGGGGTGACGAGGATTCCTTCCCTTGTGACCTTAGTCATTTCATGACTGCATCTGTTTCCACTTCTACAAGACGGTGTTACAGAATGCCTTTCTGTCGAGTTGTGACGTGTACCAGGAATGGTGGTGGATGCTGGAGCTGTCCCAGCGGAATACAGATGAGGCTGAACCAGACCTTGGAGCAAAACAGCTGTGGCTGTAGAAAGAGTATATATGCACACCTGGGTGCACAGCAGGGGCTTGGGAGGTGAGGACCAGCCACCTACTCTCTCTGAGGGGGTGTTCTGGGCCTGAGACGGAGAAAGAAGGCTCTCACGTCACCCTACAGCAGGCCGAGGGTCTGGGAGACAGCCAGGGAACACCTCTTTCCTACCACAGACCCCAGGACAGCTCGACTCAGCCCTTACCCCGGGCCCCCCCAGGAATGGCTCCACACTCCCAGGGAGTACGTTTCACCTGCTCATCTCCACCAGTGAGTCCTCCGGCCGCTGCACCCACTGGCCCAGGCCCCCAGCCCCGAGGCCCTCTTTGACACTGGGCTGCCACAGGCCCCTGGCGGGAAACTCCTGTGCTCACCAGCGGGGGCACCAGCGGGGGAGGCAGGGGAGAAGAGCAGGCTCGGGCGATGGCCCTGGTCCAGTCCCGCAAGATCTCCGGGGTAGACCGGCACAGCAGCCAGGTGCCCTCCAGCATGGCCTGGGGGGAGGGGAGGAGACAGTAGTGGAGGGCATCAGGAAGGTTCTCCCCTTCCTTTTGCTCCTGCCAGCCCAGGCTCCTTTACTGCCCTGTGCCCCCGCTGAGCAGCGGCAGGGGCGGCAGGGGCAGGCGGGGAAGAAGCGGCCTCGGCGGGTCTGGGATGGGATTTGGATGACCTCCCCGAGTCCGTCTCCTGTGCTCCTGTTAGCTCTCCCCTGGGGGCTTGGAGCAGTGCTGCCCAATCCAAGGTGCAGATAAATCTGCCAGGGGTCTACCTCAAATGCAAACTTGGATTCAGTCAGTCTGGGTGGGGCCTGAGGTCCTACATCTCTCTTGAAATTAAAGGTGTGAGCGGTGTTCTCAAGGTTGTGGCCCTTTCACCTGCAACTTGGTAGAAATGCAGAGTCTTGGTCCCAACAAGCTCTCCAGGATTTTGATGCCCTCTCAACGTTGAAAACCCCTGGCTAGAGGATGTCTAGGAAGAGGGAGCTCAGAACCTGGCACTAGTGGTTCTTACTAGATGCTGGCCAAGGTGGGCGAACCTTTCTGCCTGCCTTAGGATGCCTCTCCACGTGGTCTTTGATCAAAGTGTTTGCCCCCCTCCCCAGGATGGCCACATGGCCTGCCTCGTGTCAGACCCAGGGACTGACTGTAGTTTAGAACCAAGCAGAGTGTTCCTTGGAATTAATTCCTGGCAGAAAGTAGAATTCTTTTACTAATAGGGTTGTTAAAAGGGGAGGGAGTCTGGGCAGCGGTGCAGACAGCTGCAGATGGAAGAAAGTCAAGCAGACACGAGTAGCTAGGAAATGGACGTGACACCGAGACGCCGGCCTCCAGCAGCGACGCCTTAGCAGCCCAGTTTCATGAGCCAGTAAGTCCCTTTTTAGTTTAAGTCTGTTTGCTTTAGGTTTCAGTACTTGCAACAAAAAGAAGCCCAGTTCAGTAAGGATTAGAAGGTATCATTGTTCCCATTCACCCCATAAAATTACTGAGTGCCTACAAAGTAAAAGCCCTATGCTTGGGGCTGGGGATAAAGCAGGGGAAAGGACACGACCCTGTCCTCAGAGGCTGAAGTTCGGGGGGCAGATAAGCGTGTCAGCGGGGTAGAGTGAGTGCCATACAGAGGGGCGGTGTAGAGCTCAAACCCAGCAGGCCCCACACCACCCCCATGCTACTTGCCTACACTTAGACTTAACCTCTCTGTAAAAAGGAAATATTAGTAGCTACTTCATAGGCTAGATGGGCCTTGGAATAGTGCCTGGCGTATCGGGTAATGAATGTCAGCTGCTAGTCTCGCATGTTACAAGAGCTCAGAGGTGGGGTACCTAATGAAGACCAAGAGGGTCAAGGAGGACTTCCTGGAGAAGGTGATGGGGTATTCACTGCTGGCAAAGTAGCCTGGCAGTCAGTTCACCTAGGGTGTGTAAGGCCTTTCAGCTAAAGGCCTTTAATTAAAATGCAGGGCTTTACCTTGAGGCCGCTAATGCAGCCTGGAGTAGGGCAGGGATGTGATCAGATTTGGTTTCAGAAAGCCGCTTCTGGGGAATAAATGGCAGGGAGGTTAACTACTGTTCTCAGCAACGTGGTGAGCAATGGCGGGCGGCCTGAGCCACAACACCGGGTGGGCTCAGAGAGGGGACAGAAGGAAAGCAGCAGGGCAGAGTCAGTTACAAGCGGCAAGGGGGCTCCAGAACCCCTGCCTTAGGCCCACCCCTCAGGGTACCATCTCTGAGATAAGGGAGCACTGGAGAACAAGGTGAGCGGGATTTATCAGCTTCGGGCAGGACCAGTCTCAAGTACTCAGGACACACAGGTAGAACTGTCAACAGGTACACGGGGGCTACGGTTAAGAGCCTTGCTCTTGTCTCCACCAAATGTCCGCGTGCCTGGCTACGTCAGCTCACTCTGCCTTGGTTTCCTCCACTGTAAAAGGGGGAGAACAGTATCCGACTGCCTCGAGGGTTGTGCGCACGAACGGGACCTGCCTGCAAGGCACAGGGCCCAGCACACAGGAAGCAGTCCTAGTGACGAGGACTGATCCCGGCTGGAGATACAAACTGGGGAACACGAATGGCTCAGCAAGGGGAGCAGAGAACACAAAGGACTTGGAGAGGGAGAACTGTGGCAAAGAATAACAGTACAGCTCAATGTTTCAAGGTGATAGTAGTGATATTAATGATAGCCGTTATTAAGTGCTTAGTATGTGCCATGCTCTGTTCTAAGCACTCCGCACTGCACACACTAACTTGTTCTCACAACCCTGCAAGGTAGGTACTGTCGTTATCCCCATTTTACAGCACAGGAAACCGAAGCACGGAATGGTTTGTCACCAGCAATGAGGACTCAAACTCTAAAAGCGAGATCACCGGGCGCCTGGGTGGCTCAGTCGTTAAGCGTCCGCCTTCGGCTCATGTCATGATCCCACCAGGGTCCTGGGATCGGGCTCCCTGCTCCACGGGAGGCCTGCTTCTCCCTCTCCCACTCCCCCTGCTTGTGTTCCTGCTCCCGCGCGCTCTCTCTCTCTGTCTGTCAAGTTAATAAATAAAATCTTTTTAAAAAAATTAAAAAAAACAAAAGCGAAATCAGCACTGCACTGCGTTAGCTTGGCCCTGATGCCTGCTCTAACTGACGGTGTGTGCAAAGAGCTCTGGAAGCCAGTGGGAGCAGAGATCAAGGGACAAGAGAGTATCTGAGCTGGGTTGAAAACTTTGCCAGGCTTATTAGAGGAGGAAGGGCATTCCAAGGAGGGAGAACAGCATGAGCAAAAGCCCAAAGGCTTGAAATCGCACCCCCGCTGTCCAGAGCAGGAGCGACAAATTGCCCAGTGTGGCTGGAACCTGAGACGGGAAGGAGGGGAAAGGAATTTGGACGTGATTCTAGAAGCAAAGGGAGCCTTGAAGGTCTTTCAACAGGGGAGCAGCCAGGTCAGATTTCTTTTAGCTAGTTCCTGCTAATGGGCCCTGTGTTGAGGGCATTGGCCGGAGCTGGAGGCAGGGATTCAGGGTGGAGACGATGACGTCAGAACTTCCTTCCCGGCTGTGTACCCCCCACCCTCCCGTCCCATCTCCTGTATGGAGCACCTAGAAACGCCCAGAAGAGATGAAGTAGAAAAAGTCAAGCAGGAATGAATGCTGCCCAGAACGGATGCGTACGATGCTCACTTTCCCATCCCCAGCCCGGTAGCCTGCACCCAAGACTCCAGAAAGGAAGGACGGTGGGGAAGCAAAGGGGCCTCACCTCGGCCTCCCCCGCGTTCCCCCGCGTTCCAGCCGCCAGCCGCGCCCTCACCCTACCCTCCATCCCCGGCACCCTCACCCCGACAGCTCCAAGCCCGCACCACCCCCACCACCACCCCCAACCCGCCGGCCTCCCTCCTCCAGCGCCAGGCGCCACCGAAGCCCCTTCGGCCGAGCTGTCCACGCCCAGCTCCAGCTGCGGGGACCCCGGCCCTGCGCCTCGGTGCTTCCCGCAGCTCAGATCCCCCCTCCTCGGAGCCCCGAGGACGCTCGGGTGGCGCCCTGGACGGCGACCCAGTCAGGCAGGCCCTAACACCCACACCCACCCCGCGCTCCTCCTCTCACTCCGGCTACGCGCTTTGCGGTGTCTGCTTTTATTCCCTCTGGACACAGAGCCAGCAGGGGCCGCGCCTCCCTCTCGGGGCGGAGAAGGGGACGGGGCAGGGGGGGACGGGAGTGGCACCGCCCTCGCCCGAGGGACGCGCGGTGTGGGCGGAGGCGAGGGCGACTTCTTACTGCACGCCTTCCATCATCTTCAGGAACTCTGCGGGGACGGGGAGGGGAAGCATAAATTGCACGGCACCGGCGAGAGCTCCCCACCCTGCCCACAAGGCCACGGAGTGCCGCGTGGGGGCCACGCCCCGGGCGTTCCCGCGTGGCCCCGCCCCCCGCCGCGCTCCCGCGGGCCTCACCGTCGAAGTCAATGCGGCCGTCGTTGTTCTTGTCACCGTCTTTCATTAGGGATTCGAGCTCCTCGTCTGTCACGTGCTCCCCAGAGGCCCTGAAAATCTCAGCCAGCTCTTCCGCATCGATGTAGCCGTCTGCGTTCCTTCGGGGCGAAACGACAAGGCAGGACTCAGGGCAGGCGAGGGCGAGTCGCCCTGGCCACGGCGACGCCCCCTCCCGCACCCGCGCGCGGAGAGCCGAAGCGCCCCGCCGGCGGGA